AAATATTGAGTGATAAGACTGTTTTTTTTTCCACACCTAAGTGTGAGGCCGTGATAAGAAGACATAAGCAGAATTGTCTTTGGAATTTTTAAAAAATACATTTCAGGCCATTTCAGGTAAAGATGTCTAAAAAAACCATTGAAATAACTCGTATCTTACAGGCTGAGTTGAACCTAAAAAGTGCTACAAAACCCATCAGTAATGCAGGAATTTATTCCAAGGCTTGTTGACCGTTGCAGTAAACGTTGGCCAGCGTGATAGCTGAATAAAATATCTTACAGGATTTGAGATAAAAGCTAAATCTGACGTCGCAGTTTAGAAGCTGGCTAACTCTTACCTCGGTTCTCCAATCGTCTTTCTACCTGCGTGAAGTCCTCTTGAAGGTCTACTGCAGCGACCACACCTACACCACCATCAGGATCCCAGTGGCAGCGACCGGGAAGGAGGTCATCAGCGCCGTGTCGGACAAACTCGGCACCACTGAGGAGCTGCTGCTGGTCCACCTCAGCTCTGCCGGCGGTGAGAAAAAAGAACGCGGAGCTTCTAGAAATTGATTTTAATACAGCAGCGTTGATATAATACGATTTCCCCCCCCCCTCCCCCTTCCTTTGTCTGTGACAGAGAAGCAGTTGTTGAAACCTAATGACGTGTCGGTGTTTTCTACGTTGAGCATAAACGGTCGCCTGTTCGCCTGTCCTCGAGAGCAGCTCAGCGGTCTGGTGAGCGACTGACGTGGCCGCCGGTCTCTCGTCTCGGCCCGCAAATTTATAAAGACGCAAACGTGTTGCTCCTGTTTGCGTCAGGCTCCTCTCCCGGACCAGGAAGGCCCGTCTGCCGGCTCCATGTCAACCTTCGAGTTGATGAGCTCCAAGGACCTGGCCTATCAGATGACCATGTTCGACTGGGAGCTGTTCAGCTGCGTACATGAGGTGTCGTGTGCTGAAAATCTCAAGTTTCTCTGTGAGATAACGAAGACATTAAACAGGTTTTATGACTGTGAGTTTGTTTGTTTGTTTTTTTCCCCTGTGCTTTCCCTCAGCATGAGCTGCTCTACCACACGTTTGGACGCCACAGCTTCAGAAGAACCACGGCTAATCTGGACTTGTTCCTGAGGAGATTCAACCAGGTTCAGCTGTGGGTGGTCACCGAGGTCTGCCTCTGCACTCAGCTCAGCAAGAGAGTGCAGCTTCTTAAGAAATTCATCAAGATAGCTGCACAGTGAGTACATTTAGTGAATGTAAAAGATATTGGCTGATATCAACAAGAAACTCAGGCTTTTACTGCACGTGTTCCCTTTGTCGTCTGCAGCTGTCGAGAATTTAAGAACCTCAATTCATTCTTTGCCATCATTATGGGGATGAGCAACCCTGCTGTCAGCAGGCTGAGCCAGACATGGGAGGTAAAGCTTTCAGCAAAACCAACTAATCCATGAGTTAATCTACTGTAAACCTAATCTACATAAGAACTGTAGAAAAATCTCCTGTCATATACATTCTGTTTTTGTTTTTTGTTTTGTCTCTGACAGAAACTCCCAACCAAGTTTAAGAAGTTTTATGCCGAGTTTGAGAACATGATGGTGAGCTTTGCGTTGAAATGCCATTTTAAAAAAATTTATCCAATGTTTTATACATGTTTGAGATTTATTCAGTAAGATCAGAGTAACAAAGATCATATTTTCTTGCTTAGCCTTGTTTTTCTTTATAGCAACCTAAAAAAAAACCTGTTTTGCACTGAAATATACAGTGACCACAGTTAATGGCACCACTGGAAAGATGTGTTGAAATGTGCAGAAACTGTTTAAATCAGGACTGAAAATACTTGATTTGACCAATCATTGACGAGCAATGGAAGTGTTAGATTTAACATTATATTTGCATTTTTAATGTTTGTCATTTTTGTTTGATTGGAAAAGATGCCAGGAATGCCTGGTGCACCTTTAATTGTACTGCTTATGATTGTGTTAAACACAATTATTCCTTAAATAAATATTCTCAATTTTTATTAAAAATTTTTTTTTGATTTGAGGTTATGCTATTTGAATGAAAAAAATAAAATATTTCCCATGTCTTTACCATGGGTTGTCAGTAATTGAGGCTGGTACAAAAACAAAGGAAGAAATTAAATACTGGACATGCTTTTTATTTTATTTAGAGAATTTAAATTAGAGATTTGACCTTTATATTTTTTAGAAATTAACCTCATGTATCTGTTTTACAACAGGACCCGTCGAGAAATCACCGATCTTACAGACTCACTGTCACCAAGCTGGAGCCACCAATCATCCCCTTCATGCCGCTGCTTCTCAAAGGTGCGACTCAGAGCCACTGTGTTGTCTGTGATATATTTTTTAAAATAAAATACCCACAAACACAGACTTGAGCTAGCATTTTAAACAAGAAAAACTTCAAGACACAACTTGTCTTCAAAGAGCGCCAGTTCTCCCTTTATGTGCTCCAAATATGCAACACGTTGCTCTTTTTGTTGCTAACAGATGATCTTTGCCGCCTTCTTTACAGATATGACTTTTACACACGAGGGCAACAAGACTTTTATTGACAATATGGTCAATTTTGAGAAAATGGTGAGTTCCTTTGATCTTAAAAAAAAAAAAAGTCAGATGGATATTTTTTTCCGACTGCATCAAAGTTCCTCCTGTTCAGACATAACAATCTAACACGCTGGTATCGTTTCATCAGCGTATTATAGCAAACACAATTCGACAAGTGAGACACTGTCGAAGCCAACCGTTCAGTAAGTTTGTACATTATTCAGCAGCAGTGCTATTGCTATTTTGCTCCCTTTTTTTCCACATATTGTCACATTGCAACAACCAAATTCCAGTTTTTGGCACGTAGGGACGCTAGTGGGGGTGCATAGCATAATATATTTTGCTACTTCTGGATGCAAATAGCTTTGTTAGAACATCAGAATAAATAGTGGTAATGCATGCTGCATAACCTCTGTGATCCCTGTAAATACACTAAAGTTTGTGGTTGCAACGTGACAAACGTGGAAAAACGTGGGAGGGAAGGATCCGGTACCAAATGTTTCCCTGTGCTCCGTCAGATCCCGACATTTGCCAGCCAAACAAGAACCAGGCGGAGGTGCGGGGCTACGTCAGGAAACTCTGCGTGATCGACAACCAGAGGGCGCTGACGCAGCTCTCCTACAGGCTGGAGCCTCGGCGGACATGAGCCGCAAACCCTCCACCGCCGACGCCTTCGCTCCGTGACGTTAGCATAAAGTACACAAACGCGTCACCGGTTTGACGCAGCCCAACAAGTGGACTTGTAGTAGCAAATCACAGCAGTGATTCCTAGAACTGTGACGGGCTCAAGGACTCGTACTGTGCCGTTAAAACGCCGCCTCCCGCTGCTGGACTGAAGGGAAACCGGGTCAGCTGCTCTCTCGTTGCTCTGTCTTAAATCCTTGACCAATTGTTTATATCGTACCAGTTAGTACTGTTTCTACAGAGCCGCTAGATAGATCTGTGGTGTATAGAACGTGAATCAAATATCCTGCATGGTTGAACTTCATAGGCTTTGTGTTCTATACAGTGGATTTCTATCAGAGTGTCCTGTATTGTTGTGTTAAACCCAGAGGAAGCAGAGTTTACAACGAAAGACTCAACCTGCCTGTCGAACCAACTCCCCACTTACCAACATTAGTGTTTTAGACTTTTTTTTTAAAATATCCTATTATATACAGAAATCTGAGAGTACATATTTGCCTAATAATCTAAATTATTCAAATCGAAGTATTTAAAATCCATAGGATTATAGGTGTTACACTTAAAATGATTTAACAAGAGTATTAGTTTGATCTGAGCCCTGAAGGTGTTTAAAAGGGACGCTAAAGTATTACATTTTATGTCAAAGAGATGAGAAGTAGTATCTCTTGGAAAATGCAAATTACCTGATTGGATCTCTATAGATCTGTTGTGATTTTATTTAGTTGAGCTTTTAAAGGGAACCCCCAGTCTTATCTACCAGTTGTGTTCAGTCTGTGTGGTTTTTATTTTTGTACGTGTACATTCGGAGTGCGTGCCGTTCATTTTTTCGTTTGATCTCACGATCTTTTGCTGTGATGATGTGTTGAGAAATTCAGTAGCTTTTTCCCCCAAAAAAAGCTGCCTGTAAGGTGTACTGTATGTGTAGTCTGCCTTGTAAATAAAATAAAAAATATTGCAAATTTATCAGTGTTGACGACTTGATAATACTGCAATTTCTTCCCATGTGAACAGGATCTAGCTCATGTAAGCTAACAAATGATTGAGTTTATAGAAAAGTCTGGCTTGTAGAACCTGGTGAGCAGGTTTATCGGTTTCATCACCGAGAACATGGGCAGATGTACGCGCCATTCATTTGCGGTTCTTATCTGGATCAGTTGGTTTAAAACTGCTTAATGAGGGATTGTCCATAGTTGGGGATACATCCTGTAAGAGGATTTAGGAAATTGTTTTAAGTCAACTGCTGATCGCTGACTAATGGGCGGAAACGTAAATCCCTACAAACCGCTCCGATACACGTTGTGAGCTCGTGAAGCTGTCGCTCCCTTAAACGTAGCTGAAAGGGATAATGAGACATTTTAAAGTTGCTGTCCATGTATGGTGAGCTGGAGTCTTTCATTCCAAGGAGGCACATTTGCAACTGGACATAACTTCCATGGGGGCCAGAAAAGGGCAAAGGGCATCGTGGGAGACGAGTCATATCATCCAGCAAATAAGCAAAACGTAGTCTGAAGTCAACCAATCAGCAGGAGGTCTTCCACTGTGACTTCTCAGTCATATTTCTACAGAATATTTTCCTTTCTATCTTTAAGACAGTCTCCTAATGGTTGTTTTGCAAACTAAAGTTTTTTTTCAAAAACGTCACAGGATAAAAGTGTCATACTCAGAATTTTTATGTAGTAGTCCTTTAGCATTTAACCTTACCATAGCTAGCTTCTATTTAAACTATGTTCATGGATTAGTTTACATAAAATTTAATAAAGTGCTTAACATTCTTATTTTTTGTTTAGTCTCACAAAATAATCTAATCCAGCCTGAGGTCACTTGATGCACAAAAATATCAGGCAGAGTCATGAGAGGAGAACCTAAAGCTATGCAAAGGATGCTTTATTTATTAAATGCTTATCTACACTGAATAAGAAAATAGAAACACTTTAGAACAAAAGGTGAAGGTTCACGCATAGCACACGGGCTTTCACAGCAGCTTCTAGGAATTACCAGCAGATTTTTTTATTTTTTTTTTTTTTTTTTTTTTGTCTGTGAAGTTATTGATGTGTTGTAATTTCCCAAAGCTGATCCCACCTGTCCCTAAACGGTGATGTCAGCATGACTTCCCTGCTGATGGTGTCACCAGGTCCTTCCTGTCCGGGTGAGTAACGCCCCGTCCCGCTCTGGCCTCCGCGCTCTTCAGTGCGTTTTTAGCTGCAGCGCATGCTGAGGGCGTTAGACTGGGGGTGTCTGCGGCAGCCAGTGCTGTTACTAACAGATCTACTATGTCAAACACACTATAGGTCGGAGCTCTGTGTCTGTTTGGAGCGTGTGAAGAGCTTTATATAGCCACAGCCATCCAGGAAGAAGGAATGCCCCTGGATGCCAGTGACCATATTTGCACAGTGTCTGCTCCAGACACACTGCACACACCGACTAAATGTTCTGATGCAAGCCTGCTCATCCGTCTCCCCGCTCAGACGCGAGTGTGAGCGTACACACATTCACACACTGCTGCAGTTCCACCGGATCGCCACCATCAGGCAATGCAGCTCCTCGTCTGGCTGCGACAGTCGACCTGCTCTGACTCACTGAGAGGAAAAACTTCTCCCTCTCTTTCCAGCACTTTCTGGTTTTCTCTTCTTGACACTCTGTTCATCCGACCGACAGCGTCCTGTCCCGAACCGGCCGAGATCTTCTGTGCTTCACTTTATCTCTTCCTGCTCTGATCTGGGACTGTAGACTGAGGTTGGACTTGAAGGGTTCTTTACTTTTCCTTTTATTTATTTTTATTTTTTTTATCTTTTACCCTCCCTGGCATTGTCCATGAGTGTGTTTGAGTGTCCGTGAGTCAGTATGCCATGTCGTCCCCTGGCTCGTCGTTTGTACAGATAAAGCATGAGGATTTGCTTTTTTACGAAAACTGTGGAGGAGGCAGCTTTGGGAGTGTCTACAGGGCCCTCTGGATATCCCAAGACAAGGAGGTGGCTGTGAAAAAGCTTCTCAAGATCGACAAAGAGGTAAAAGAGGAGCGAGACAAGTGCAACATGCAAAGAGGCATAATTCATTTCTTAGGTAGAAGCGGCACTAATATGAACCCCACATTCAGCATCATTTAGTCAAGGGCTCCTGAATTCAACAAGAATCCATTTTCACCTAATTCCCTATAGACTCTTCCTCTGCTTCTTCCTCTCCCTCCCTGCCTGACGTTGAACGTGTTTATCTTGCACATACCTTTTCCTGTACACCTTCTCCTCTTTGTTTACTTTATTATGCTTTTGCTACACTGTTGTGCTCCTACTGAAAGCTTTGAGGCTCACTTCACTGGAGTCCAGCAGCTCTCCATCACCCACACTGTGACTTAAGCATGACTTCCTGTCATGTTAACAGCACAGAGCTGGTAGTTGTGGCTCTTGAAAGCTTATTTCCTGGAAAGTCTTAGCCACATTTGGACATAACCCCTCCCCCTCCCCCCCTCAGTTTATACATTTTATAGCAGATCTGGAGAACGTTTCGACTAAAGGCTAATAAATGGCTGTGTGAGCTAAAACTCAAGCCAATTAATTTAGAACGTGAGTGATTTTATTTTTTTTAAGGGAGGGAAGTAAAGTTTATGAGGAAAAGCTGGAAAATGATTTATGAACCAGAGTTATTGACGGCACAATTTTATAGATCCCTATACAGACATGCAAAATGATATTTTCCTACGGTTTTTCTAGATATTTAAAACTTCAAAAAAAAAAATGTCTCATTGGGATTCAACGTCAGAATCCAACAAAAGGCAGCACATGGCTAAGAAGCAGAAGGATTTTTTTTAAAGTAAAAATAAAAGTCTAAAAAGTGTGCCGTGGATTTGTATTCAGCTCCTTTTGAATCCGACACCCCTAAATAAAATCCAGTGCAACCTACCAATCTAATAAATAGAATGCACCTGTGTGTGTAGCTTAATCTCAGTATAAATACAGCTGTTCTGTGATGGCTTCAGAGATGTGTTAGCAGACAAGTCAAGGATAGAGCTGTGGAGAAATTTAAAACAGGATTAGATTCAAACAATAGCCCAAGCTTCGAATATTTCACAGAGATCTGTGAAATATTGTCATATCATTTAGGATTGCAGTCCTAAGCATTCAACCAGAGATATGCTGGAATGATTTCAATCAATTCATATGCATGTACTAGACTGGCCTAGTCAAAGAGCAAACCTAAATCCAACTTGAACTTTGCAGAGGGTCTCTAATTCTTCTCTTTGTAAGGACAAATTGGCAGAAATTTCAGTTTCTAGATGTGCAAAGCTGAGAGAAACATGGAGGTATACAAATGTATACCAGACATTTAAAAATGGTTATTAAAAAAAAAAAAAAAAAAAGTTAAACACCTTGTTTCCTTCCTATCCTTCCACAGGCCCGGCGGCAGGGGCGGGCATTGGGGGGCATTGCCCACCCAAGGAGTCAGCTGTGCACCCCCTGGCCTGGAAGCTGTTTGTTGTTTTTACCATAAAGTGGCCAACTCTCTGTTATTCCTATATCGATTTGATACAGTAGTGACTTCCGCACTTCCCATATATGTCCCTTCGGTCACTTTTGTCAGCAGTTCAAACTGTTTAATCCGTTGTTAACACTTTGTAACGCGTTTTTCCGAGCCGCCTTTAAACGCAACATCAGCGCTAATACGCTCGCGCGGGGTTTACACCTGTGCAGCAGAGAAGGAGACCTGCACAGGTGTGTTAGAATCACGGCAGCGAACCAGCAAAACGCAAAGAA